CCCAAATGTGGCCCTATCCTAAGGGGCAGTGGAAGCGTTTCCTGATGACCCTGTCTAGGTGTGCAGAGACCAAGGCCGCATATGGGGGGAAGAGGGAAGGAAAACCCCAGGAACTGCCCAAGCCTCGGCTGTAGGGGACACTGTCTGAGTGGAGTCCATCCAGGAGGCTGGGCAGGGTGGTCAGTCATGGAGTCTGAGAGCCTGGCCCTGGCCCAGATGAGCCTGTCTCCATCTGCGTCTCCTTTCCTTGGCAGCCTTGCCCAGCATGGTGAGCACATGTGCACAGGAAAATGTGCCTGCAGCCCAGAAGGGCTCTATCTCCACACCACACTGTCACCCCTCCGAGGTGTGGGCACAGCTTTGAGAAGTCCCTTTGCTCCCTGGAATATTGCAGGTTGCGCTTCACCCCTTGAGAGCTGCTCTGAGGCAGCTGTTGCTGGGACCAGCCCCCAACACCCGTACCACCATCTGGAAACCTCAAGAAAGCATTCTAAAAACATTCAGCAGAACTTTCCAAAAATGCTTCCGCTGCAGCAGGATATTTAAGATAGGGATGTGTGAGGCAGTGTAGGCATGTTGCTAGGCAACCACCCCATCCTCTGGTTCTGGCCTCAGTTGCCAGGCAGCAGTGAGCAAGGGGCAGGGACGGCCTACTGTAATGCCCTAGAGTGAGCGAACCCTACTAAGGACCTGACATGGGTGAGGGTCTCTGAGTGGATTGTGGAATCCCTGGGGTGTCAGCTCAGGTCATGGGGACTGGCACTGTGAGCTGTTTTCAGTCCTAAATCTCTATGGCTTCCTGCGAGTTCCTGTCATTCAGAGACCTCTGGACCTTTGGTGACAGGAGGCGCCAGGAAAGCCTGGCTCTGAAGCAGGAGCTGGACTTGCAGGGTTGCTGCTGTCCCCAGAATGAACGCTGCCAGCTACCTGCATCCTGGCCCACATCCCAGGGGAGGAGATGAGGGGGGCATGTGAATATGGACACAGGGCAAGTGACCCCAGCGTGGAGGTGACTGGGGAGTGACACACTTGCTTTCCACCAATTTTGATTTTATTATAACTTTTAATAGAGTTCACCTCATTGTGGGTTCAGAAGAATTCATTTTCTGCCCTGGTTATAGCGCTGGGCTGAGCTAGTTTAACCCTAGAGAACTCAACAGTCCACTCTCTGGGGCAGTATGCACAGCCCGACCCCAGGACAAAGGGACTTAGTGGCTGGTGTTGTGGACCCTGGGATCTTGAGTGTCTCTGCCTCCCTGGCAATAATTGATCTGTGTGAAATGCAAGCCCAGCTCTGTAGGCGTGAGCAGTAAAGACAGCGCCCAGAGAAAGGGATCATGGAACCCACACTGTGACCCATGGCTGAGGGTACAGAGGCTGCAGACAGTGAGAGGCACCCTGGCTCCTGGTCCCCTTCCCTCTGCCTCCATCTGCTCGGCTCCCTGGAATGGGTGCAAGGCCTCTACCTTCTGTGTCTGGAACAGTCTTCTTTCTGTCACCTATGATACCTGGCCCAGAAATTCCAGGATTCTGTCCCTGGAGCCCTCTGCACCATCTCTTCCATTTCAGAATCTTTCCCATGAGCCAGGTGTGGTGGTGCACACCTGTGCTTTCAGTACACTGGGAGACTGAGGCAGAGTGATTAAGTTTGAGCCCTGCCTGGGTAACTTGGCAGTTTAGAGAAACCCTGCCTCCAAATTTTAAAAATGGGGAGGGACTAAGGGTATAGCTCAGTACTAACATGCCCCTGGGTTCAGTTCCTCAAATGGAAAGAAAAACAAGCTGCTGTGTGGTTTGTTTCCTTCTGCGTGTCTCTCTGTCCCCTGGATGAAGGAGGTCTTGTGCTCAGCTCCTATTTCTCTGTTCCCTCCCCATGGCCTCACCTATGGCTGGTTCTCTGCAGTAGCTTGGGTGGGGGTCCTGACACTGTGCTCCTCCCACATGACCTCCTGGAGGGTGCTTCCTGGAGAAAACTCCTGTCCCCAGGCTCTGAGCTCCCAGTCTTATGCTCTCTTGACACCAAAATGCACCTGGCTGTGCTCTCAGTCCACATTACCTCACCTCTGAGCCTCACCCTCTGCTGGCTGCATCTTGATGGAGGAGTTGGTAAAGCTTCTGTGCTGGACCCAAGGTCCAGGCCTTGGGAGGCACTAACCCCACCCATGGGACCACAGTCTGCATTCCTTACAGGACAGATAGCATGTGGTGGGAGCTGAAAACCTCCTCCTATCTCCCAGCTCCTCCTCCTTTCTCCTCCCTTCCCTCCCATGCTCTCTTCCCCCTTCCTCCTCCTCCTCCTCCTCTTCTTCCAATTTCCCTACTGAGCAAGCACATGAGACTTCACTCTCTGCTACCTTAGTGCAGACCCCTGGCCCTCCAGACTCTCTGTGCTGGCCCAGGCCCACAGGGCTTCCAGGGTCCCTGCCAGGAGCAACAGATCCAGCACAGTGCCCAGTCCCAGTGTATCATCTCCCCATGCCAGGTCCTTTTCAGCCACAGAGCAGACAGAGGGCTCTAGATGGGAACAGCTTGCTTGGCTGCATATTAAGTTGGACGGGACCATAGCTGGTATGCAGGACCAATCCAGGATGAGCAGCCAGCTGCTGCTGTCCTGGTCCTTGCCTTCCATCCCCACACCATACTAAGCCCTGGACCACATGTTAGCCCTTGGAAATTTACTGGTGATCTTGTCTCTATTTCATTGATGGGAGTCAAGTACTGAGTGTCTCTGGCATGAGGTCATAGGGCAGACCAGTATACTGCAGGACCCTGAGCCAGCAGGAAGTTAGGCAACTGGGTCCCAACACATTCTTTAAACACTGCACCAAGTCAGCACCCAGAAGCCAACTCTGCCTAGCCCCCAGAGGCTGGATCTGTGGTCTGGGTTAGTGCCTGACATCCTGTCTTGAGTGCTGTGAGCAAGGGCAGAGTCCCCGTCAGTCTGGTGTGATTATGAGAGAATGGCCCTGGGTGGCCAGGCACTCTGCGCCAAGCTCCCAGGTGACTACTCCCATAGTTTGTGATCTCTACTCAGCTTTGACCTCTCCATCTCCTCACTCATACCCTCTGCACATGACCCAGGGCACTGCGTCCCTGTGGTGCATCCATCCTGTCCCCCGAGTGTTATGTGCATTGGTAGGCTTGGGACATCTCCACTTCTTCCTGGGACTTTAGGTTTGCAGAATGAAGCTTTCCTGTGTGAAGCACATGGCCACGAAGGTGCTGCAAGTGCCAGCGTGGAGGGTACTTGCTGGGTGTTCACAGTGGCCATAGGTAAGCAGGACACTGGCAGACGTCCTCTTGCAGAGGAGAGGATGGGTTCAGAGCCTCAGGCCACCCTGCAAATCCCAGTCTGTGACATGGATGGGGCTGTGCCCACTCTGTGGCTGAATCATACCTTCCTCTGGAAAGGTTGAGAAGAATGTTCCAGGGCTCAGCCATCGTCGGGAGGCACAGCTATCCCTCTCTGTCTAGCCCTGTGAGGTCTGAGCTCCTACAGCTCTGGGCTGTCCTGGCTTGGCCGGGCTTTTGGGGACCCAAGCTGCTTGGGCCAGGTTTCCAACTAGCTGGGAAACACATGGTGTCTGTCTTGAGCTCTTCTCAGTTGTGCTTCCTCCTTTGCAAGAAGAATAGTTTTTATGAAGGTCTAAAAGTAATAATAGATTTTTAAGGAACAGCAAAGGCAATACAACAGGGTCAGCAGCCGACTGCACTCAGCACTCAGTGACAGGTGGGGTCACAGGGCTCTTTAGATCACTCTGTTCTGGTGGGGATCAGGGCGCTTGTCAGCAGCAGAGTCCCAGCATGGTATCTTCCTGCCAGGTTTCCTTCTGGGCACTCCCTGACCCAGAACACTCTTCTTTCCCAAGAACATCTGGATTCTGCAAGCAAGGACGCCAGCTTCACAGAGGGGTCACCAGGCACCTGAGATGGGGGCACTGTCCATGCTTGCTGTGCAGAGTCGTGCCAAAATGGTGTTTGCCCTCCTTCCCAGGGGGTTAACTTGGACAATGCTAGGTTACAACTGTCGGCTAAAATACACAGTTCCTCTGTGGCCAGAGCCTGAGTTCTAGAACTTTTTAAAAAATGAAGCAATGTAAAAAATTGACACCATCATGCGGCATTACACTGAGATAAGAAGCAGACCCCTTGCTCTGCAGATACACTTCTGTGTGTATGCACGTGTGTGCAGGTGTGTGACTGCATCTGTGTGCGTGCACATCTGTGTACCTGTATGCATGTGTATATGCATGTATACATTGGTGTTTACACATACATCTGTGTATACACGTGTATACCTGTACATCTGTATATATCCATATGTGTGCATATCTGTATGTATGCACATCTCATATGCATCTGTATGTATGTGTGTACATATGTGTATCTATATGTGAACATTCATATATCCTTATACTTGTGTATGCATATGTTAATCTGTGCATGTTTACAACTTTGTGTGCATTTGTGTGTATGGATGTGTGTATCTGTACATCGGTTTGCATGTGTGATACACCTGTTTGTTTGTATGTGTGTGCATCTGTACCTTTGTGTACATGCAGGTAGACATCTGTGTAATCCATTGTCTTCCTCAAGGTGCAGTAAGCCCTGAAGTGTATCATTTTCTGATGTTTGAGAACTCTAAACTTATCTGTACCAGACTTAATATTGGTCTCACTCAGTACCTTGAGCAATTTCGAATTATTCAGTCATACATGTACATTTCTGGGGTGTGCACAAGTGACTGTAGAAATTGCTTCCTTCTGGTGACTTGAGCAGTGATAGTGGCACTTTGGCTCTACACAGTGCCCCCTTCCCAGTGCCCTGCTTGGATCCAAGGCCCTTGGTTGTACTTTCTTCTCCTGCCGGCCATGGAGCCTGCTGATTCAGAGCCACGCAGACACCTGGGGTCAGGGTCACACAAACCCCTTAGGGCTTCTGCTCCTGATTGTCCAATCAGCTACTGTACCATTTATTTTCTTGTGTGTTGATCACTTTAGGGATCACTTTAGTGGGATCCTTCCTTCCCATCCCCCAAAGGACATGTGTAGAAAGAAGGTCGGGCCAGCCCCATGGAACTGAAGCTGACCAAAATCAAAGGGAGCTTGCATGGACTGACCCTGTTCAAAGGTACGGAACCGTCTCTGAATGTTGTGTCCTTGTCTGTGTTTGTGGGAAGCTGAGTGCACACAAGGTCTTCCTGAGAGGCAAGGCCACCTGCCCCTGCACGAGGAGATGCCACTGCCACTTGACCCCTTAAAGAAAGGAACCATCTGACTAGAAGGCATCTAGTGGAGAACGTGGAAAGCTTGAGGACCCTAAGTTCCATTGAATCTACTATAAATTCCAGGATTTGGGTTTATTTTGGTCCTTGCCCCATGATATAATCAGTTTACTACTATATGTGTCTCAGACAGCTCCTGTCCTCTTCCTGTGAGGAACCAGGTATAATTAAGCAGTGTGGGGAAAGTGCCAGGAATGACGAGGTACTTCTAGGAAGTTGTTTGCTTTGGAACTGGTATGTGGGATCCAAAGCACAGCTCTGCTGCTCCCAAAGACTCTGACCACAGACTCGTCTGCCATCATCATCGGGCTCACACCACACATGCACTTCAGTTGATATGATTTTCAGTGAGACACGTGATAACCAGATAGCTCGTACAGCTGCATATATGTGGCGCACTAAATTTTTGTATCTGGATTTGTGTGAAAGAAATGAAGGCCTTACCTTTCAACAAGCCCTCACAATACAGTGCTGGAGATTCGGGCTGTGTCAGACCCGTGTCATCCTGCACGGGTCGACAGCCATGGAGGTGTGGTTACAAGAGTTCAACTGCAGTATGAGAAATTCTTGTGATGCTTCCTCATCTCCAGAAGTAGTGAAAATGGGCTTTGTGCTTTTGATTGACTGTTGTGAGCCAGGTCCAGCCACCCAGCAAAGGCCTTGCCTGCAGGGGCCTGTGAGGCCACTGCTACCATATCCATAGCCATTATCCATTATCCATAGCCATAGGAGGTGGCAACAGCCCTCAGTCACTTCAGGGACATGACAGCAGGGCCTGCTCTGTCTCATGGCCAATGATATGACCAGTCCCATATTCCCATGCTTGTCTCCCTGCACAGCTTGGGACACCATACCCAGGCCTCGGCTGAGACACCAACATCTCGCAAGAGGCTACTGCAGGTCTACACTTTGGTGGAGCTTCCTACACACTCGCTTTGCACATATCACCGCCCACCCCTGTACACACCACCAAGCCACGCCCACCCCTGTACACACCACCAAGCCACGCCCACCCCTGTACACACCACCAAGCCACGCTCACCCTTGCACACAACCAAGCTCCCCCCCCCCCCACAGACCTGCTCTTTCTTGTTCTCTGGGTCAATCTAGACTGCTGCTCCTGCATTGGGGCAGGATGGAGCAGGCTCTACCATCTGATTTTCTGCTTGGGGGGATTTTCTGTAGCTGTGGCTATCTCTTGTTCAAGAAAGCAAATCTTCCATGACCTTTCCCAGCTGTGCAGAGTGTGATTCTCTTTAGGACAGTGTTTAGTTTTGCTTGTGTCCTGTTGTGTGACAGATCAGTCCTCTGAGAGAAGCAGTCTTTATGTGACACTGCTGTGCCCACTCAGGGAGATGCACTGAGGAAAACAGGAAGGTCAGCGTAGTGCAGGCATCAGGGCTCAGAATTCCTAAGGCTCTGTGTCTGATTTGGTTCTGTACATTTTGTAAATCCAACCCTGTCACCTGTTACCCAGTGACCCATGGGGCACTAGTTTTTCACTTAAGGAATTACTATTTTTTTTTTCCAGAGCCACAGTAAAAATAGTCAGCCAAGCCCCTTGGTGAATGTATTCTGTAATTGTGTGGTATTTTAATGCATTTATTTATATGCAGTTTATCCCTGAAGGTATTTAAAGAAGGGATAGGATGTTATTCTTGGTCTACTACAGTGAACTTAGCTTTATGGCATCATTGCTGTTATCCATAGTAATAAATGAAAAAGATTGTACATTTGTGGACAGTTTATATCACAGCAACTTGCAAATTCCTCTGTGTCTCCTACGCGCAGAGTACTTGTGGACAGTGTTGTTCTGACATGTAAGAACATGAGCTGACATCTCTGCCCAGGTTAGGTCCCAGCCCTGGTTCAGTATGGAGGGGAGTTGTGGCAAAGGGTGAGCTCGAGTGCTCTGTAGAAGAGCCAGCCTTTCCTGGGCTCTTGGTTTGCTTGTGGAGGCTTCTGTCAGTGGCAAGGCCAGGAGATTGGTGACCTGTCATGCACAGTGGTCTGGAGTGACCCTGTGTGAGGGACACATGAGAGCCAGGCACTCTGGCCAGGCCCACAGAGAGACCCACCCACCCCATGCTGATCATCTACCACCTCAGTGTGTGTGGCTCCTGAACTTGCAGGGACTCTGTTTTGAGACTGGCCCCTGCACATGGAGGCCATGTGAATCTTTATGCTCACTTCCCATCTGGGTTCATACCCACCTTTCTGGCCACGGTGGGTCGCAAGGTGTGACCTGTGAATCTGTGCTGTGGGTCTTAGCTGCAGCCCCTGAAAATACAGTGAATTGTGGACAGGAGAAAGAGAGGGGCTCAGCCGGCCAGGGTCAAACTCCCTGTAGAAGGGCTGGCAGCTGGGGAGGGGTTGCACTGGCAGCACCTCCATCTCAGGAGCGGTCCTGCTGCCATCTTCTCCTGAGGTGAGAACATGTCCCAGCCTGGGAGATGTGGGACACTCCAAACTAACCTTAATCCTAACCCTAACCTCAGCCCCAGGGCAACAGGCTGAGGTCAGAGCTGTGTCCACCAAGCATGCTCATTCACTTGGTGAAAACAACTGAATCCACTGAGTCCTTCGTTCCCCCCTCAGATATTTGAGCACCTCCTCAACATGGGAATCAGTCCAGGGGCACAGGTGTGGCCCCTGGTGTGGAGCACTGATCAGGTACTGGGCCTGGCTGGCAAGCGACGTTCATCTTCTCTTCCTTTTGCATTTTATGGGTCAAAAGTAAGATTCTGGCTCAGTGATTTCTTTTGCACATTTTATAAACCTTATTGCAAAGGCTTGTTCTTCAGATTCTTTAGGAACTAAAGTTTCATGGCTTGTGGTTGCCAGTACTTGAGTTTCCTTTTGTGGCCATCATTTCTCAGAAGCCTGATTTTCTCACATAAATTTTAGAAAAACTTCTTTTTTTCAGAAAAGTTTTAAATTTCCAACACTTCTAAAGTAATAACATTTTATCATGTACCGTTTTAATTATGATGTTGTTGTGAGTTGGTTTTTCTTGCAGTTCTTTAGGAGCAACTGGGCTCATCCACAAGAAAACCTTGGGTCATCGCAGGTCTGCTCTGGCCTGGAGTCCTGGGAGAACATCTTTGACTGCCTCTGTGCCAGTCAGGATCTGCCACTCCCTGGTCTCTCTCTCGTGTCTTTAGTCTTGGGCTTTTCTCTTTTCCCTTTGAACAATGCGCAGCCCCTTTTGCTATGTCCAAGTCCCTGCATGGTGCTGTCCCCAGGGTTTATGTCCTAAGAACACCTTGTTCCTGGTCCTTGCAGTGTGCAGTCACCAGAGCGGTGCAGTAGGTACAGAGGGGATGCCCTGTCCCTGGTCGCCTGGGCATGGTTCCCAGGGTCAGTCTGAGGGTTCACCCTACTGTAGCCTGTTCCCTACCTGAACGGGGGCAGGCAGCCTGGAGGTGCATTGTGTCTGTGTTCTCCAGTCCTTGTCTCTGTCATCCTGGGGTCAGTGAGACCTGGCGCTGGGTGAGGACTCAAGCTCCCTTTTCCCTCCCTTCTATGCCAACCTCCTGAGGAAGGGCGTTGCTGAGCCCTGTCCCTGTGGCTGTCAGGCTTGTTTTCTGGGTGCTCTGTCCTCTCTGAAGACTCCCAGTCTCTCATAAATGCCAAGTAGCCTTTTAGTCCCTGAGGTTAAAAACTGCTGGGTTTAGTCACTCCACACAACATGTGTTTACCAGAGCATCCAGCTGGGCCTCTTGATACCTGCAAATATTTGTCAGTCAAAAGTATAAGTTTTTTAAATAAAAAAAATCACATATAATAAAAAATAATTACCAGTGAAGATAAGTTGGTTCCATAGTTTCCTGTAAATCATGACTGTGGTATTTAAGTAGCTCGTGAGTCTTGTGAGGAAAAAGAAATAGACATTTACAAAACTGTCCTGCCCCAGCCAGCCCAGGTAGGCACGCATAGCGGGCACTGGAGGAGCTGAGTCTGTGAGTTGGAGCCCGAGTGCCATGTGAGGCAAGCTGCAAGGCCTTGGTGACCCAGCTCCCAGTGATCAGACCATGGTGAGTGGCCCTGCACTCGAGGGCCACAGTGTGCCCTGGTCTTAGCCGTGTGGTGGTGACAGCAGCCTTCTCAGGGCAGCCAGTGTGAAAACTGTTGTCACTGGGGTGGGGACTGGGGGAGGTCCCCAACCACAGGACACTGTCTCAGGTGGTGCCCCCTCAGGGAACAGGCTGGGGCATCTGCTGTCTAGGCACAAGGGTGTGAGACTTGTGCACAGACCTGGTCCCTTGCCAGTGATTCCATGCCAAGAAGGCTGTGCCCGACCCAGCAGTGCCCCCAGTGGCAGTCACAGAGGCCTGTGCGGCTGGGTTCTGTGGTCTCCATGGAGACCCCTAGGGACCCTCAGAGGGTGCTTCCAGCCAAGAAACTCCCCATTAACACTGTGATTGTGAATTTGGAGATCCTTCCTCAGTAGAAAGGAGCAGTTCCCTGGGCAGAGCTGCCCAGTGCAGCAATGCCTGGTGCTGTGGGCCCATTTTGCAGACCCTCATGTGCAGTGGACAGCATCTCTGAGAACTCAGCTCCAGCCCACTGCACAGGGGCGTCTGGGGGCTGGGGGCTGGGGGCTGGGGGCTGGGTCCCACCCGAGCTGGCACAGGGGCAACACTGGGACAGACTCAGCTCCCTGCCCCTCTGCCAGGCACTCTTAGCAGTAGCTGCCCCTGCAGCGTGAGGACGGGGACCATGAGCTGCTCAGGGGATGCTGACTTCAGTGTGCCCTCCCGAGGCTTCCAGGGCTGTGCTGGAAACCCTCCAGGCTGCCAGCAGTGTAAATGTGAATACCTATTTATCTATGAGTACTACAATC